GTGTTTCTTTTTATGAATCTCAATTCCAAACAAACAAACAAACAAATAAATAAGCAAGCAAAATTATAAGGTGCACAAAGAAACAGAAACAAAGAACCCAAAATAAATTTCTAGAACCTGGTCCTAAAGAAAGGCAGATCTGTGAGTACCCTGACAAAGAATTTAAAGTAACTGAAATAAAGATGATTAATGAGCTAAAAAAGAACACAAAACAGTATCAAAAGACTATGCATGAACAAAGTAAGGTTATCAACTAATGGAGAAAACTACAAATGAACCAAACAGAGATTATAGAGCTGAAAAATACAATAACTGAACTGAAAAATTCACTAGAGAGGGTCAACAGATGACTTGACCAGGCAGAGGGAAGACCAGTTAACTTGAAAACAGGTCATCTGAAATTGTTGTCTGAGAGGGGCATAAAGAAAAAAGAATGGAGAAAAGTGAAGAATGTGCAGGCTGTATGGGTACCAGTGAAGTAGTAGACTATACAGATTCAGGCTCCCAGAACTGAAATTAGGATAAACTCAGGGAAGATGATGGTGAGACACACTTCAATCAAACTGTCTAAAGTCAAGACAGAGAGAGACTCTTAAAGCAGCAAGTGAAAAGTCAGTGGTCACATAAGCAAGCTTACATAAGCTTATCAGTGGATTTCTCAGCAGACATCTTGCAAACTAGAGAGGAATGGAATGATGTATTTACAATGCTAAAAGAAAAAAGATGTCAACCAAGAATACCTTATCTGATCAACCATCCTTCAAAAGAGTTTCCAAGCTAAAACACACGTGGGCAGAATTCAGTACCACCAGACCTTATAAAAAATGCTAAAGGGAGGCCTTCAGATTGAAACAACAGGACAAGAGACAGCAACATAAAGCTTTATGAAAACATAAGACTTTCCTGCAAAGGTAAACACAGGGAGAAATGCAGTAACCTGTACTACTGTAATTCTTTCTGACTGACAGACTTTAAATAACATTGAAAACTATAGACCCATACAAGTAAGTATGCAATTTGTAAAGATGTAATTTGTGACATCAATAAAAGTGTGAGAGACTAAAGCTGTAAAGAAGCAGTTTTTATATAAAGATGAAGTGAAGTTGTTAATAGTTTAAAATAGAACACTGTAATTTTAAGATCCTTTATGTAATTACAATGGTAACAACAAAGGAAGAATCCGTAGAAACTACAGAGAAGGAAATGAGAATCTTGTCATTATAAAAAATCAAAGAATTATAAAGAAAGGCAGTAAGAATAAAGTAGGAAGAAAAGAGAAAATAACAAAATGACATGACTAAGTCTTCTCTCCCGTAATTACTTTAAGTGTTATGGATTAAATGCCAATAAAAACACCTAGATTGGCTGAGTGGATTCAAAGAAACAACAAGATCTTGTATTGCCTGCAAGAGATTCACTTTAGATCTGTGGACACACACAGACTGAAAGTGAAGAGATGGTAAAAGATATTTCATGTAAAAGGCAACAAAATGAGAGCAGGAATAATGCAATTTTCAGACAAAACAGACTAAATCAGAAACTTTTATGAGAGACAAGGACAGACACTATATAAAGATAAAAGGGTCACTTCACCAAGAAGATACAGCAATTACAAATATTTGTGAAATACTGAAACATAACAAAGGTAGGAAATTTCAATAATCTATTTCCAATAATGGATAGAACAAGCTGACAAAAGGTTAAAATAGAAAACAGAGGCTTGACCAATACCACAAACCAAGGGACTACATACACGGACTCTCTACCCAAGAACAGCAGAATGCAATTCTTCCTAAGTACATCAAGAACATTCTCCAGGGCAGACTACATAAAGGCCACAAACAAGTTTTCATAAATCTAAGGAAAAATGAAATCATACAAGTACCTTTTCCTTTCACTCTAGAGCAAAACTATAAATCAATACCAAAAGGCAAACTAAAATTCATGGATGTGTGAAAATCAAACAACATGGTCTTAGGCCGTCAATGAATCAAACAGTAACAAGGGAAATTAGAAAATGCCTTTAGCTGCACGAAGGTGAAAGCATGACACACCAAAACTATGGGGCGAGGCAAAAGCAGTGCTGAGAGGAAAGTATATAGCTGTAAATGCATACATTAAACCCAAAAAGATCTCAAATCAATACCCTAACCTAACAACTTAAGGAACTAGAAAAATAATAAACTAACACCAAATCCAGCAGAAATAAACAAAAGCAGAGCTAACAAAACAGAGCAGAAAAATAACAACAAAAAACATCACTGAAGAAAGAGTTGTTTTTTTTTTAAAGATCAACAAAATTGCCAAATCCTAAACTAGATTAACTAAAAAAATATAGAGAAGACTAAAATAACTAAAATCAGAAATGCAACAGGGAGTGTTACAACTGATGCTGCAGAAATAGTGAGAGTTATAAAGAGAATAATATTACTGTATGTCAATGAATTAGATAACCTAAAGAAACTGACAGCCAGGCGCCAGTGGCTCACGCATGTAATCCCAACTACTCAGGAGGCAGAGATCAGGAGAATCTCAGTTTGAAGCCAGCCTTGGCAAATGGTTTGTGAGACCCTGTCTTGAAAAAACCCAACACAAAAAAAGGGCTGGTGGAGTGGCTCAAGTGGCAGAGTGCCTTCCTAGGAAACAGAGGTCCTGAGTTCAAACCCCAGTGGCATCGAAAAAAAGAAACTGATAAATTCCTAGAAACATACAACCTACCAAGACTGACTCATAAAGAAACTGAAAATCTAAACAGACCATTTTCCAATAAAGAAAAGCTGAGGGTCAGATGGCTTCCCTGGAGAATTCCACCAAACATTTAAGAAATAACTAACACCAATCCTCCTAAAACTCTTCTCAAAAATTGAAGACATTTCCAAACTTTTCCTAAGAGGTCAGCATTGCTCTGATATCAAAGCCAGATAAAGACATTGCCAGAAAAGAAAAGTACTGTCCAAAATCTCTGATGATCATGAATACAAAAATCCTCAACAAAATTCTGGTCATTTAAACAGACCAGAACAAACAGAGCAACAGAACAGACAGCTCATAGCTGAACCCTTGGGGATATGGTAAAATGATCTTCAGCAGGGTGACAAGACCGCTTGGTGGGGAAAGGACCTGGAGGAGAAGGAGTCCTCTCAAAGGCTTAAGGATTACAGCAGTACCAACCATGAAAGGAACTCTGCAAGCCAGGAGATAGAAAGATGAATGAATGGGCAAAGGATGAGACAGGCAATTCAGAGAAGGTGAAAGATGAAGAGGTGACACCTAGTTGAAGAAATGCTCAACACTCCCAGGGATAAAGGGAATGCAAATTAAAACCGCAAGACACCCACTTACAAAATGAGGGGGAGACTAACTCAGTGTGCGCTGGCATAAGTGTCCTCTGGTGTGACTGTGCATCTGACCTCTCTGTGAAGCTATGTGGGGAAATACTGAGTCTGCATTACCAGGAACTCCAGCAGAGGTCTGTAGTGAGCATTGCTGAAGGACAAGGGACAGGTAGAAGTGAGGTAGAGGAAACCCAAGGGTCCACTGTGAAGGAAGCAGCTCAGGATTAGGTCAAATATTTGCAAAAGCCAGAAGTAATGACCTATGGCAATGAACACAACTGTAGAGCTGAGTAAAAATACGAGAGAAAGAATGGAATCTATAGAATAATACCACTTTTACAATTAGCAACTTATACATAAGTATAAAGGCGTATACACTGACACAAACAACACTGCTGAGTATATTCCCAAGACTGCACATACACAGCTCCATGAAAGCACATGGAAGGTAGACTGGAAGAACACATAATAAGTAAGTATGTCACAGTGGGCACAAGTCGAACATCTCTAAAAAGTTCCAGATTTCAGAGTACTTGGATTTTCAGATTACAGATGCTCAACTGGTAAAGTATATGCAAGTATCCCCAAATTAAAAAATCTCCCAAGCGTTTTGGATGAGGGATAGCCATCCTGTAATTGTGCTAAGGGGAAAAGGCCCAAAGCATGTGATTAGTCCAGCTCCACGTAATTGGGGTTCCCCAACAAGACCCATTAGAGAAAATCAACATGAGAGGCTTGTGTGTGTGTGTGTGTGTGTGCATGTGTGTGCGCATGGTCTTCTTATGAGTCCTAAGTGTAAGGACTGAGTTCCATGCTACTGTGTGTGGTGCACCTCCCTCAAGCCTTGTCACGACATTGACACTGCCCGAATGACATGAAGGAAAGACAGTTCCAGCTCGTGCTCGATGGGTGGTCCAGAACACCCCACCGTGGAACCACAGTACAGTTCTAAAGAGTCCTATGCACATAAAGTTACTTTTGCAGGCTTCCCATCTGCTCATAACATTAGCTGAGATACAAAAACAAAGAGCTCTTGGAACTGATGCCAGCATCTGAGGAAACGGGGTTTTTAAAAATATGACCTGGATACAGGCTCCCAGGAGAAGGTCACTTCCCAAGCGTGTGGTAACTAGAGCAGCACATTCATGTCCTGGCCTAACCCACCAGGCACGGTGTGGCTGGGGAGCGCTATGTGCTGACAACACGAGACCTGGCATGGTTTTGCGTTGTCTAATAGGTAAAGATCAATCACCCCCCACGTTAACTGATGGGCAAGGTGAACACTGAGGCCACTGTCACTGCGGATACGGAAACCCTTTGTGTTTTTCTTTGGGAGCAAAGAGTTCAAAATGTCATAGCCTGTAGCACACTCAACACATCAGCCTAACCCGAAGTCAGAGTATGAAAAGACATGATAAAAGCCAAGATGCTTGTTATGAAACAGGTGGGGTGGGACGGCTGGCGCTTCCTGTGCCAAGGCCCCGCTCTGTCCTCTCCAGGTGGCATCTGAAGCACCCATGCAGAGGCTCAGATCTTTAGAAAAGTCTCAGAACACCTGAACAGGAAACAGGGTCAAAATCCAAACAGCCTTGAAAAAGGGAAGCCGAAAGCAGGCTGGAGGGATTCACGTGTGCAGCGAGGTGGCTGGCGGCCTCAGGACCTTACCGGGCTATCTTGTCACTGCAGGACATGGTGAGCAGCCTTTCCCCCTGCAGCACCCCATCCCACGTCTGGATGCTGGCGTTTGAGCGCACAGGAATTGTTCCCTCGCCAGACTCTATTTTTGTCCGTAGCTGACCCCTTGCTTTACGATTTGGATGTCTATCTGCTGGCTCTAAGAGAAAGAGAGGGTAAAAAATGCACAGGTAGTAAACATTCTGTTTAATTTATTAGAAAGCACATCGAACAATACCCTATAATTTAAAAATGTATTTATGTATATGCGTGCCTATTTACGCTACTTATACAAAATATACATACAAGTTTATAAAACTGAGCAGAAAGGGCTTTAATACAAACCAAATTCATGGAATTGGTCTCCTTTAAGGTTGAGAAAAAGGCAGTTTACATTTTGACTGAAATGATTTCTTCCTATCGTTAACAATGAGTGGAAATGAGTAGGATAAAATGCTAAAATGCGCTAATTCTGGGTGATGAATACTTGGGTGATTTGTTATATTTCAACCATCATATTTTTTCAAAAATAAATCTCAAGAGATGCAGAAATAAATTCATGGGAAGTGTGCAAAGACACCCACAGTTATCCCTGGGCCACACGACTATGAGCAATTTTAATGCTCTTTCTCACACTTTAAAAATAGTTAGAAATTTTCCACACACTGTCTACTGCTTTTATAATTCAGGAAAATAATATAATCAGACGATATTATATTATTTATCTGTAATATCATCTGTAATATTATTACATTACAGATGGAACTGTGCGGTGTCCTTTGGGGTAAATGATGCTTCAGCTTGGGAGAAGGGACACGGGAGGGACAACACTACTGTGAAACAAAAGCGTTGACCCAGTGTATGAAGGATGGAATAAGCATGATGACAGCAGTGGCCCCACCATACACCAGTGTCCACCTGGCTCTGAAAGAGTGACCTCATGCCTCTATGGGGGACCACAGTCATCTGATCCACAGGTAAATTAAACACAGTACAATTTTCATCTCATACCTGCACTCTATTCTCATTTGATTAATCAAAATCAGCACTTTCTTTTAGAATCACAACTTTCATTTAAGAATCTACTGATTAAACTATTAAATGGAAGAAAGAACCCATGCTTTTACAGAGACTCCAATCAGATCCATCTGCAGGGCTGAAAATTTAAAGACATAAATAAAAGAGGATATTGATGTGAGTGTATCCACTCGTCTGCTGCTGCACAATGACACATTTGCCTGAGGAAGCTGTGTTGGACTCTGGCCTCATACCCTCCAGCACTGGCTCGTGGGGAGAGAAGATTCTGGCATCTCCGCAGGGCGAGGTGCTGATGTACAGATGGAACTGTACGGTGTCCTTCAGCCGAAAGCCGCCCCGCTCCGACTTCTGAAAGATGGACCTTTTCTGATCTTCTTTGCTACTGCAAGGGAAAAGTTGCAAAGGTGACATTGAAAGCTGTAAGGTCAGCATTTGGTGCACTGTACAGTGACTTTCAGAGGTCAGTATTTTCAGTAGGGAAGGGGTGAGCTTGAACTGGAGCCTTTGTTAGACATGTTTAAGCTAATTAATAGCTCAGGTCCACTCAGTGACAGACATGTCAGCAACTGTAAGTGACTGCTCCTTCTAAGCCATGACTTCAGAGTAGAAAGTATTCCTGTCAAAAAAAGCAGTCAGGGGTTGGCAGAGTGGCTCGAGTGGTTAAGAGCACCTGCCTTTCAAGCATGAGGCCCTGGGTTCAAATTCCAGTGCCACAAAAAAGGGAACGTTTTGGCTCAAGAAAAGCAGTCAGGTACAAGATTAGCTCTGACCAGGAACAGTGACTAGAATGAAAATGACCATCTTCACCAGGCAGTTTAGGGGTCCTAAAGTCTTAAACAAGGACTTGAAATTTATGGCCATGCTGTACTTCTACTTGTGTTTCTGAATGTAGGGAGGCATGTGTGTTTTTTAATTTACTCCGCTCTATTTCTTAACTGGGATCACCGGAAAGTGGAATTCAGCGAGCATCATGAGAGAACAGGACCTAGCCTCAGTAGCACCGACAGTTATTATTTTGAGACTTTCTCAGTCAGTGCTTTACAGAAACAAGAAGAGTCTGCAATGTTTTTGATAGAATATGTTTTTAAACATAGCTTCCTTTACTTGTTTACTCCTAAACTTACTTTAGGTAAAGCTCGAGTTGAGCATAAAGAAACCTGAGCAGGGACCTTCGGGAGATTATTTCTGCATGACAGTCATTTAACGCGAGGCCACGGTCACTCATGTATTCACCGTTGATACACTTTGTCCCTGTGGACACACTTATCACCTTGGCGTCTTTGACATCCGTGCCTGAAAGACAGGAGGGTGACGTCAGTGGCTTACAGACACTGGCCTGTCTGACACACACTTTCGGCAAATGGACCACTCAGGGCTGAGCAGAACTCACGCTTGTCTTCACACACCTTCTACCATTGGCTCCTACCTGGCCGTCACTCACCTGCAAGGCCTCACTTCGCACCATTTCCAGGACGCTACCTTCCTCACCCTGCTGTGCAGGTTCAGACTTCAGACCCTGCCCGTGGAGCGCGATGTCCTCTCTTAAACACTCACCCCGGAACAGGGTAATGGAGCACTGCCTGCAGGTACTGACTGGCCTGCAATCAGCCTCTGAAGTCAAGTATTAAAGTACTAAAGAGAGACCAGGTGCAGTGGCTCACGCCCAAAATCATAGTTACTTGGGATCGGAAGATTGTGGCACGAGGCCAGCAGTGCAAAAAGTTAGGAAGACCCCCCCCATCCCAGCAAAAAAAAACAGGGTGTGATGGGGCATAGCTGTCATCCCAGCTATGTGTGGGAGGCATTGGGAGGCACTGGTAAGAGGATCTCAGTCCGAGGCCAGACCCCGGCAAAAATACAAGACCTTACCAGAAAAATAACTGAAGCAAAAAGGGTTGGGAACACAGCTCAAGACATAGAACACCTCCCTAGCAAGCTTGAAGCCCTGAGTTCAAGCCCCAGTACCACCAAAAAACAGAAACAACAACCCAAAACTGAAAACAAACAAAAAACAATAAAGAGGTTGGAAAGATTGGCTTAAAGACACCCAGAGAACCAAGGAGGAAAACAGAGTCAACTCCCCACATTTTCACTGATAATCTGTCACATTTAAGCACACTGGAGTGACATCATAAGCAGTGTGACCTGCCAGGGAGGGGTCATCCTGGTGTCAACCTTGTGAGACAGCCCACTGACCCAGACATGAGTGGGTTGGGGTGTAACTCAGTGGTGAGCGCTTGCCTAGACTGGTGAGGCCCTGGCTTCCACCCTTGGCGTTGAGGCCCACACTCACTATAGTAGATGAGCAGGCCACATCACAGGCCGTGCACCTTAGTAAATTACACAGTGCTGCTTCCCTTGCATAGATAAGGAAACTGCAGCACACAGCGGTGATGACCTGCTCGGGGCCATCTGGCCAGTCAGGAGCTGAGACTTGAGCCAGGCTCTGAGGCACAACCCTTCCCAATGCCTCATGGTGCTAGTGTCAGATGCACATTTTGGCTTTGAGCAAATGGTAACATGAAGATGCAAAATACTCCCAAGAGGAGACTAGCCTTGTGTATCATTACTGTCACAAAATATCTGAAAGACCTTAAGAGAGGATTTGTTTAGTACATAGTTCCAAGACGAGCAGAGCAGTTCACGTAATGGTGGAAAGAGAGAGAGAGAGAGAGAATACGCCTGGGCTGTGGGATTTCTCCTTTTCCCCTTTATTCCATTTGTGCCCCAGCCTGAGGGATGCTGCTGCCACATTCAGGGTGGGTCTTCCCTCTTAGTCAATCCTCTCTGGAAAGGCCTTACGGGTACACCCAGAGGTGTGCTCTCCTAATCTTCTGGGTGCATTTCAGTCCAATCAAGTCGACAAATCAAGATTAACCATCCCAAGCCTCTTCTGTGGTGGCTGAATAATTGGAAGAAGGACCCAACTGGTCCTCAGTCTTCTTGGAAGGACACAGAGCTTCACCAGAGAGACACTTCGCCAGGGGTTGAGGGGCTTGGCTCCAGGCAGCAAGAAGATGATGGCAAAGGAATAAGTGGAGGAGAGGTTGGCAAGAAGCACCAGCACTCAAAAGCAGTCATGGTTTCTGAGTATCACATTAAGGACTTCAGGCTCATATCCTTTTACACAGCCTGACAGAGGTAAGCCACCGTGGGAGGAAGGGACAACACAGTCACCTGTGTGGAGAACTAGGGCTTATCCCTGGCTGGCTGGTGTCAGCTCCCACCCCTTACCTCTCTGTCCTGCTGCCTGCATTCACCATCCAGGCTGGGTCAAGTGATGCTGATAGTACACAGCTGCACCTGATGGGGTTGTGCCCTGCTCCAGAAGGTCAGGCACTGAGTATCCTCATCCCACCATTATAAAGAAGGAGTCTAGGGATTCCTTTTGCTACTGGGAACTTCCAGACAAATTTAACAGGCTGTTGTCATCCTAAACTGTGATCTTTCTCATAATCTCTCCTCCCACTGGAGCTCCCTCCCTCTCTGTGGAAGACATACAGATCTGCCAGTAACAATACTAACTGATAAAGCAGACAGGCCCAAGATTTAAAGAGCCAAGAGTGAATAAGGTGATGCTTCCAGGCCACCCACATAATGGCAATGGAGGAGCGGAACGTACCACAGAATGCTTTCTCCAAAGGAAGCCGACTCAGGTTAAAAAGTTGAATATCTAGGGGGAAAAAGGCTGTTTTTTTTTTTTTTTTGAGGAGGGGGTTGGTGCTAGGGATTAAACCCAGCTTCCTATCTGCTAAGCACATGGTCTGCCACTGATCTACTCCCCAGCCCCAAAGGGAAAATGGCTACACCTGCGTATGACAAATGCTGTGAAGACAAAAGGAATAGAAGGCAATTTCCGGCTGTCACAGGGCCCTTCAGACTGACAGCAGTGAACCTCAGCAGGCAGATTAAACATGGTGCAGACACGCTTACCTGTGGTCATGACGACTCCAGCAAGCACTTTTCTGCGTGCATGAGGGGAGGAGAAGTTGTCTGTCAGGTCACCAAACTTACCCAGGACCAGACGTGAAACAGCATCTGCTAACACCTGGGTGAGGAGCAGAGAGCAAGGTAAGGGCTAGTCTCTCTCAATGTCAGTGCGTGCTGGTGCCTCACACTGGGACATCTACAGACTGCTTCTCCAGAAAACACGCAGGTAAACCCAACACATTAAGTCAGAGGAAACAAAAATTGCCACTGCACAAAAGGGCAGGCCCATCTTCAAGTGTTCAGAGGGTTAGTTCCCTATAGGGGACAGAAGCCCTCAGACCTGAGCCTGACACCCATGTTGATATGCACTGGGAGATGCAGGCATCTGAGGTATACAGGCCGTTCACATTCCTATAAAGTTACTACAGTGTGCTTCATGAAGCACACTCCCTCTGAATTTGGGGGAGGCATAGTAGAAAGGTAGCTCCTAAAAGCCAAGACTAGACCACACACTCTAGGCAGCACCACTCACCTGCAGGGAACTCAGAAAAGCCAGAAGTGCTCCTTACAGCTAGGCTCTAGGACAATGCTCAGCCACGCTAGTTGGTAAAACACACTATGGCAGACAGCCACAGCCATCACATGGTCAATGCCACCTAATTTGATGCCTCCCATGCCCTTGAGTACCAGGAAGGCAGAGCATGCTTACATTAGGGATGCCTGACCCAGGTCCTTTGAGGGTCACTCCAGGAAAAAGGTTTGCTTCCACTCTAGAACATGCATTTTGAAGCTTCCAGTTAAAAGACTGGAAGGAATGGAGCTCAGCAATGCAGCCACAAGGACTGGTCCTCGGAAGGACACCCCAGGTCCTCTGAGGAACAGATGACCCACCTGAGCTTCCCTGGGGCTCTGGAAGGGGCAATCATGGCAGGGCCACTAAGCAGTGACAGAAGACTCAGCTCCACTGCCCTCGTGCCTGGTGGCTCTGGACTACAGAGATCAAGACATAGGTGCTCAGTGCCTCAGAAACAGGAGGAAAACAGCACCAGGAGGCTCTGAGGGGTCCTGTCACCCACACCCCTCCCCAAGGCTAGATCCCAACAGATGCCTCCTGACTTTCAGGCCAGGAGCTCAGTCCTTTCTACATGAAGTTGCTGCGGCAGAGCTATGCCAGGGAAGCCGGTCTGAGAATCCACACACCCTCATGAGGACTTCTGTCTGCCACCCTCTATGGTCCCAAATGACACTGCAGAGCCCCATGCATCTGGGCTCCACAACTGCTTGAAGTGGCTTCCACGGTCTGGCCACACTCTGTCAACATTAGGGGAGGACAAGTCACATCAGATGGTATGTTGAACTCAGGCTGAAATATTTTAGCAAATAGTAAGCCTGGAAATAAAAAGCCACTTGGGATCTAGTGCCACTGATCCATGAAATTACAATTGGACTAATGGAGGAATAGTAGCAAGGGGTTAATAGGGAAGCAAATACTTGGATCATAAAAAAGTCAGTAAAATACTTTGAATATATTCCTTTACAATGATGTTGTATTTGGTTGCTGTAGGCAAAACAGAACAACTTTCCTTCTTTTAAAACTGAGAACTATGGTCACCTCTGACTCCAGCTGTGGGAGGCAACTCTAGCACAGGGTCCACGGGATCTAGGAGCATGCAGGCCTCCTCTTTACCACATTTGAGTCCTTCATTTATTCTGTCAAATGTAGTATGTTTTACCTCCACATTGAAGACCATTTTGACAAAAAGAAAGCCAAAAGAATAATTTTAACAAGAGGCCAGCAGAATTTGAGGTTTCCCAGGAGAAAAAGCAAACCTAGTCAGCACTCTGGAACTGGGTGAGGATGGCACCCTCCCCCCTTTACTCTTCCTCTTCACAGACTCAACTGAAGTCACCCTGAGAACCCCCTTTCTTCACCTGATGTTACTGGGTGGGGGACAAACTTTAAACTGACTGCTCAAATCCAGCTAGAGGTGGGAAAAGTCCCCAAGAATGCCACAGAGGATATGTGTGACGAAGAGACTCCCAGCAGCTGGCAGACCACAGAGCACTCATGGAAGAGACCTGGCTCCCACCCCTGCAAAGGCTTCCTACTGTTCTGGGCGGTTTCTCTGCAAGCCGGCTCCGGCTCCTCGTCTTAGGAATGCAGTCACCAGCAGCCAGTCACTCAGGAACTGACTCATCCTGATCCCAGCTTGGGTTTCCAGCTTAGACTGGCCAGCAGCCCCATCTTGTGTGTCAGATTCCTCTATGCAGTGACTCGGGGAAAACACCGCTAACTGGGGACAAAGTTCCAGTGTTTGGGCTCCCCTGCCCTATTCCTGATAAACGCTTGCTATGGGGTGAGGGTCCCTGTGAGAGTAGGGAGAGAACTGTAAGTGAAACCCTGCCTTGGTGGATGGGGTCTTCAAGTGACCATGTCCTGCACTGTTACAGTCCCAGTGTGCAGTGGGAAGCAGGTTTCTCAGTGACCACCTGACCATGGAAATCAAGGGAAGGCTTCCCTGAAGCTGGACTGACCAGTAAGTGTTCCTGCAGAGGTCTCTGTGACATAAGGAGAGTCAAGAGCACTCATGAACAGCAAAGGGTGTTTAAAAGGATTACCAAGAGGCAAGGTCCATGCTTTAAAGCACACAGCTCTCCTCACCTGTGGCAAGTGCAACTGGAGACCTTCGCTGAGGACAGGCTGTCGAGACGGTGTTTGGTCCAAGTGCAAATTGAAGATAGTGGCCAGGGCAGACTGTGCAGCCCGGGCCTTGGCCAGCTTCTTGTTCCTCCCTGAGCCTTCAAAGAACTGACCATCCACCACCACGGACATGACGAAGCTCTTGGCATGGCTCTCCCCACTCTCAGAGAGGAAGTCGTATTTCAGCCCTGGGCGCAGCTCATTCAAGATCATCACGGGGTTCTTCCCGCTTGGGGGTTGGAATGGCGGAAGGATGGGCAGGGGAGGCTGGACAGCTGGCAGGCACCGGGGAGGCTGACAGGCTGAGGTCCCCGCTGGAGCTGAAGGAGTCGTCCCCATTGGAGCCCACATAGAAGGGTGGCTCTGACTTGTCTGGAGTCTCAAAGCCATTGAAGAGTGTGTCAGGGAAGTCAGCCTGGTCAGATGTGAAGTCCGTGTTCACGGACAGGGTCCTTCCCATGGCCAGGTGGGCCTCAGAGGCATTGGGAAACTGAACGAAAGACCTCAAGGCTTTCTCAGCAGCATGAAGTTTTGCCTTTTTCTTTGTGGGACCAGACCCCTCAAAGACCTGCCCGTTCACTTCCACAGACATGACAAACAGAGGTGCATGCACAGGCCCCGTCTGGGACAGCAGCATGTACTGTAGGCCAGGCTTGATCTCATTCAGCTGCATCAGGGCGTTCTTGGGCAGAACGGGCCCCGGCGTTTTCCTCCGTTTCTTCAGGCGGTACTTGGAGTGTCCATTGCTGCCCTCCTCCAGGGGCCGCTTCCTGCTGGTGCCACCGCCACCCCCGTTGGAGAGCTGAGCGCCCTCGCCAGGCCCAGGTGCGCCGCCGTCCTTGGGGGGCATGTTGTCCAGATTGCGGTTTTCCTTAACATCAGTGCTGCTGGAACCTGTGGTGCCCAGAAAGAGTAACTTACAACGCCTTCGTTGCAGGATCTTGTAAATGCAAAATTTATAGATTCCTTTATCTCTTTGCAACTGGGTAAGTGATGTGTGCGTTTATACTGCCTTACTCGATGCAAGCCTGGGGAGCTATGGGCCTCAGCTGAAATAAGCAATCTGCCTACCTCTTTTAGTTAGTTCACCATTGCTTCTGTGTTGAGGTAAAATTTTAATTTTTTTTTCTACTGAGAATATTCTGAATCATCTTTACTGAAGCTTATCAAATGTTGGATGATAAATTAATCCAGAAAGACCGCTCGCTAAAAAGTCTAATGAACTTAACACATCAGTATTCGGACAGCTGTGTTTTCTCTTAGCACATTTCTTTTTTCCAAGGTCATTTGTCTCCACAGTGTCTGTGGTTTAAACTGCAGCATCTCTTTCTTAAAAGAGGAAGCATGATTTAAAATGCATCCATGAGTTAGTTCTTCAGGTTTAAAATATCCAATCAAAATGTGGACTATTTGATTCAGTTTCTGAATCGGTCATATAAAACTGCTCATGTAACAGGTAACATATTATGAGTTCTTAGAAATAATTTTTGGAGGATTATGACTTGATTTCTGGTATTCATTTAAAAGTTTTCATTACATTTGAGGACGATTTACCTCAGAATCCTAATATATTTCATGATACATTAGAACAGAATATAAAATTGAAGCTTCAAGCAGGCTACAACTTCCTAACTTTACAAATATATCTGGCAATTTTGATTTTTTAAAAAACAATTAATTGATGGTTTTCCCAAATAATTTTCATAAAGGTATTTTATTTTTAAAGTTAATAAAGGTAACTTTAGAATTCTAAAAGTACATGGCAAAATAAACATGATTTTGATTTTAAAGGGTAAATACAAGCTGGGCATGGTGGTATACACCTGTAAGCCCAGCACTCTGGAGGCTGACGGAGAAGGATTGCAAGTAGAGGATGGCCTGGTCCACATGGCCTAAAAAGAAGGAGAAATAAGAGCATGTTCACCCTTCCCTTTATGTTTAGAGCTTTTGGTATCATTAAGTTTCACAGGCCCATCCTATAAGGCTTAGGGCTTTACAGTATTATGAATTTAAAGGCCTTCTACCAATAGCTCCCAGAATCCACAATAAACCTTAACTAACCAAAATATTCTTAAAACTGTAAGCATATGCCCCAATATGGTGGCTTTAAGGTCTATTTCTACTGTGTAAAGTATGAGCAGATTCTCCTTACACTAAGCCAACTGAAAACTGAAAATGTTCACCAGTGCAGCTCCTGGGGAGGGTTGATGTGACAGAAGCCCTGGCCCCTGGCTGCCAGTCTTCGGATTTAAGAGTTGTGGATGTCCAGGACCTGTCACTCAGCTGAGACAGCAAAAATGGCCCTCAATAAGCACAGCCCATGGGAAACTGGTAATGTATCATGGGAAACTGCATGGACACCTACTCCCTGGAACATTCCCGACACACACACCACTTTCTCCCAGCCAACAAAGCTGATGGAATGGGCACTAAATTTTCATTTATAACATCCTCCAGCAAAAGGCCGGTAGGTTACTCCTTTCGGTACTCCAGGAATAAAAGGTTAGAAAGGTAGAGCAGAGATGGAAGGGAGAGATTAGTAAAGGGAGTGAGAACATCATATACTAGAAAATGCTCACAGTTCAACTTCATCACTAACAGAATTATCAACACGGAAAATCACATCCTCATTAATGGACGCTAACATGCATTTAACCAAACATCTATAACCTCCCCAACAGCCAAATGCTCTCCTTTCAGACATAACAATAATCAGAACTAGACTGACAAATTGTCCTGAGCTTATAAGAAAACATGCTTTCCGTAACAATTCACACCAACTCTCAATTCTTATTCACTTCAGAAGCATTAAGGTACTGTTCACATTGTTTATTAAAATGCTACTAAGTAAAGAAAAATGAAAGATTCAAATTGGAGACAGAGGACCCCCTGCCCCCAGCTCTTCCAAAACAGATGGTTTCTTGCTGCAGATCATGCTGCTGCCTTTCAGAAATGCAAAATGAGTCACGATAAAACTTTCTGCTGCTTTCAAAATGATAGAGAATATAGGCCTGGGTTTTCTAAGTTTTGTACCAGACCCAGCAGCTCATCTTTCCAGGAAAATTATTCTGGAGGGCTCTTCCTCATGGTTAAGTTGCCAGGGCTCAGTGTGGGAATGGCTGTGGCCATGGCTGGCAGTTCACATTCCCAGCAGGCACTCAGGGCACACCAACACACACCCCTCAGGGGATCAGTGAGCCAGCACAGTAAGGCTGATCTTGGAAGCAGGAAACATGTGCAGCACATCCCACCCCAGAGTCCTCGTTGCACCACGACACACCCAGGGCAAAGGTGCAGTGCAGACACACCTCATAGGGTGCCAGGTTATGGCTGTCAGGTAAGTCATGGAAAATGCCCGAGCTGGGTTCTAATGGTCAGAACCACCACCAGTAAGATAGGATAGGCACGCACAGCTGCGTCTTCTTCCTGGAGCAAATACCGCACGAAAGCTAGAAAAGCGATGTCTTCAATGTCACTTCCCCACTGTGCGCTTTCCACCATCTGTGGACGCACGTGGACCTCATTTCTAAATGCGCTCTAGAATGAGGGTGAAGCAGAAGTAGAAGCATGTTCACGGACTCTTCATGGAGAAAGCACTGAAGGAAGGATAGTCTGTACCTCCATCCCCTGCAGCACCAGAGAGGACCCAGCGTCAGTTTTGGTCCACAGCAGCCCAAGTCTCATTCCAGTCTTCGGAGGCTGAACGCCATGTGAGCCCCTTCCCTCCAAACGCAGGAGCAACCACTGTATTTGAAGGGAGCCATGTGTGTACCATTATCCCAAATGACACGCATCTGATATCTGATTCAACGTCAAGGTCTTCTTCAATTTGCCTGGTGACATTCAGGGTTTTATTACAAGCACCTCGCTGTGACACGACTTCTCATGAAACCATGCAGACTTATGAGATATGCACCTAGAGGCATATTTCTGGAATAAAAATGCGGCCCATGACGATAACGAGGAATGAAAAATCTAGACAGGTGGCTGTAGGGAAAATGTCCACAGTAAATATTGATACCTATTATAGAGAACACTCACAAAATAAAACACGCCACTGCCACCAGCCCACAATGCAGGGAACATCAAATTGGCCTCTAAGTGAGTTTATAAATGCTAACAATTTCATGGGAGCTTAGCTACGTGAGCTATGTGATAGGCCTAGGTCTTACTCATGTTCTCTTCGTCTTCTAGATCCATGGCAGAGAGCTTCCGAGGGCTTCTTGACGGACGGAGACTGCCTCTGTCTGAAAGACAGCAAGAGGACCATGCTTCAGAGCGCAGCACGGGTGAACTGAGATGCAACTGTTCTGTGGAACAATCACTACACCATTGCAAATTAAAGGCCAAACAGGAGCCGTGGGGCTGGCATTTAAGACAAGACCTTCAGGCTCTTTTATCTCCTTCCAGCAAGTTCTGGGGTAACGGAAGACCCCCAACTTGGACTCCTGCGTGGTGGAGGGATGGTGGAATGTAGGCAAAGGTCACAGCACAGGGGGTCTAGGGCAGTGCCAGGGGTAGGGTGGCTTGAAGCCCACCAACCACATCATGACAGCTGACCACAGAACACAACAGGACTCAAATCTATTTGCCCTCTGGTCTTTGCCCTGAGTAGGCTTGTGGACTGGATTATAAAAGGAAGCCATGTAACAAGAACCAGCACCTTTCAGCATTTCATTTCACATTCTGTGCCTCCCAGGAGCATCCACAGGCAAGACTAAAATGCACACAGTAGTTAAAACCTAATGCAGTGCCTTAGCCACACACAACCTATCGCTTTGTTGGTAGAAGAAACCACAGGAAATCTCTAAAGGACAATGACCTTAATTACCTAATTATTAACAAATTTAGGGATTTTTCTCTTCTTAAACATTTCTGATATACTTTGCAAAACTACACTAATAGAGAGTCTATAGTAAAGAATCCCATCAAATTACAGTTGAGGAAAAAGATTTGCAAATTTTGAAGCCAATACTGCTTTATAAACAAAATTCATGTTATAAATATCAAGAAGGTCATTTCATTGCTTTTAGGAAAATGGTGATTACATATGCCGGAACATGTATCTCTCGTATACTGTACATGTAAAATATATGTAGTTTTCATGACAAGCATTTGGTAGTAACTAACTATATTTCTGGCAAATGTGGTGTTAAGCAGTTTCTACGTAGAATCATTTATAAAAGAATGTTTTCTAGATACTTTTAAAAGCATTATTATTTTATATTCAGTAATTACCTCATGATGTATTTTTAAAAGTCTATTGTTATGTGTCTACCGGTTCTTGGGTACCACAAGAACCCAGAGTAAATAGATCCTACAACTGAGAAATTCCAACATGAATACTGCCTGGACACTGATTATAAGAAACTTTTAAAAATCATTTCTGGTGTGGAAATAGTAGTTACTTGGTAGCAATATATACAGAAGTATTTTCAGGTGAAATGGCAATGTCTGGGGTTTACTTCAAAATGCTTCAGTGTGATGGGGGAAAGAACAGATACGACTATGGGTGGACCATGGCTGGTAACTGTCACTGCTGGTGATGGGCATGGGGTGTACTGTGCAGTCTGTGTATTTCACATCCCTGCATTGGTATGTGTCAATATTGCCACTGTGGAAAGTTTTAGCAGGAAGTGACTGACTGGAGGTCCTGAGTAGAAGGGCAGGCACTTCAGCGAGATGGGGTGCTCCCCAGCCTCAGCTACAGGGGTCAGCTCAGAAGAATGGGGATGAGGTCAATCATTCATCCAAGACACAACAGAAACTTGGGAGAACAGAAAGCAAAAGGATGCAGAGGGTACTCAGGCACTGCTGAGATGCCCAGACTACGAACTTGGGGAGCAAGAAACCTGTCTGACCGACTGTCTCTGCTCTCCTTTCTGAAAACAGGCTTTGGAACACAGAGGAGATGTGTTTTCCCCTTCTCTTCCTGTTGAAAACAACTGAGAGCCTTGAAAGTCAGAATAAAATAAGCACAAGATGATAGGAAGGAGGAGAGGGGAGGGCAGACCTGCCAGGATGTACCTGAGATGCTCCTGGCCTCATTATCCCGACTTGTACCTGAAGAAGCTGGGAACCCCAATACTGTAGGCACCAACCAAAACAGAGGCAGCAGCAAAAAAACAAGCCCAACAAAAGCAGCTCTCTCTGGCAAGATGAAAAAGTTCTGGACAAGGATCCTCTACATCAGAAAAACCCCACAGAAGAGCCTGCACCCCACACTGGGCTCTAAGAAAAGTCACAGAGAACCCTGTTGGGTCAGAGTCACACCAATCAAGTGTGGAGCCTCAATGTCACTTCTACCAGGCTGTGACAATTCCATGCCTTCCCGTGCCAGACAACATGTCACCAAGTGCTGTCAATGCAGGCTCTGGAAGGGGTAGTGAGAGGCCTTCTTAGCAGGTACGTACCTTGGAGGTCCAACGGGGAGCTAGACTTGCCCTCACCTACAGTAACCCCTTCCCTTCACAGAAGAGAGTAGGGGAAAGCCAGCTTCAACAGGCTTGGGTAAGAGTCTGAGTCTCATAATGTTAATAGATTCCATTAAGAATCACCTATCATACAGAGAACCAGGAAGATCTCAAACAGGGAAGAGACAGTCAATAGATGTCCACACAGGGACAACAGAGATGCAGAATGATCTGGAGTGATATTAATGAGGCCTTCACTAACTAGAAGAGTGGGCAGGAGGCAAATCTATTCATCTCAGCACTCCGAGTAGCTACAGCCAGCAAGATGGGTGATATGGGCAAGGGGGAGATGGGCAGAGCACACAGAACAGTGCAGAGCATGGAACAGACCCTGCAGATATGCTCAGTCCACTGCATGAAGACGTGAGGGCAACCAGATATGGGAAAGCTCTTCAACAGAAGGCGTGGGAGCGAAGAGATTCAGAGGCTAAAACAGAACCTTAGCCCAGCCCCATACTGAATCCCAAATCACCTCCAAATGAATCAAGGGCTTAGATGCAAAACACAAAACTATGAAAGTCGCAGAAAAATCTTAGGAGAGAATCAGGACCCTAGGGCTGGGCAAAGATTCTTAGACTTTCCAACACACACACACAATCCAGGAAAGGGGAAATCAGCAAACTGGATAGCATGAAAAATAAAACCTGCTCTGCAAAAGACCCTGTAAAAATGACACGGAGTGGGGGAGCTATAATGAGAACCACATATCCAACAAGCTGAATATGCAAGAAGCTCAAAAGTCAACAATAAAAAAAACCATCCAATTAGAAAATGGGCAAAAACCAGAGACGTTACACCATAAGGCATATACAGATGGAAACAAGCACATAAAAAAATGCTCAACATCTCTGGCCACAAGGGAAAGGCAACCTAAGACCACGAGACACTGCTGCAAAGTGATGAGAGCAGTTTGAGTGAAAGCCAGTGGGAACCCACATGTGGCGAGGAGGGAGGACCGGGTCTCATGCCTGCTGCTGGGGTGTAAAGGCACAGAATTTCAGGAATGGAAGGCGATGAGAATACAAAGCAGTCTGGCAGCTTCTCAGAAACTAAACCTACAACAGCCATGGACCAGCAGGTGTGCCATGGGGCATTTACTGGAGAAATGAAGACTTGGGTCCTCACAGGCACTATTTCTCATGCTCCAAGGGAGTCTACACTGTCTCAAAATAAAGTTTAATTTGGAAAGAGGAAGAAGGCATGCAATGAGGCTAATTCTTATATACAATTAACCACAGAGGGGTTTGTTTGGGAAGGCTGGCTTCTCGCAGTTGTCTGGGACCAGGAAGGACAAATATTATGATGACGAGTCCTGAGGTACAGGAGTGCCCCACTCTGACAGGGATCACCTGGTGCAGAAGCTTGCCTCGGAAAAGGACATGAAAATGTCTCACAGTGGAAAATGTGCGTGGTGGCAGGTGGGTGCTGTGTGGTAAGAATGGCAGCTGGGAACCTCTTGCAGAGCAGAGGCCAGAGCTTTCAGTGTGTAAAGGCCAGTCCTGGCACCAAGGGTTACACAACAAAGCAAAGGAGCCAGCACAGGCACTTTGTGGCATTTCCCACAGCCTTCTCTTACGGCCTGAACTGCACACGAGAATTAAAGCTTCATCAAAAATCCCATGTCAAGAAAATTCCAGAAATGCCAATTAAAGCAAAGCTCTATTTGATAGCAATAGTCAAAATAACTTCCTCATTTTTTAAGATGCCTCCTAGGGCAGGAAGAGGTGAACTAAGGGGTGGGAACAGCGAGGGTGCAAAGATACTTTAGACTCATCATCAGAAGAGCTGAGACCTGTGGTCAGCATGGTTCACAGGGCACGGCCACAATTCTGACCTGCTTCTTTAATGGGACTACACAAGTTAATTCTAATGCTAGTATGGAAAAAGAAAAGTTTCAAATAACTGTGAGACTGTGAGCTAAAGGAATAATTAGGTGGGGTAAACGCTCTAGCCTGGACACAAAAGAACCCAGCACCTGAAAGGACGCACTGTGCCTCCCGGGCCCACAGAAGATCTAGTGGTGGGAAGAAAAGTCAGGATTACAGCAGAGAACTGTCAGAAGCAGTGTTTGGTAAAAGTGGTGTGTTCACTCAGGGACACTCAGATGTGCTTAGTGACCACGACTGGATACTGAGTGACCACATGGAGAAGGTCAAGCAAGATCCACGGCTGCTCACGTGCACTGCCTTTACCACTCTCCACCTGTTATCTTTTAATTTCAAATAACATGATTAAATTAGCAATGATTACTTTTTAAACCAGGGGGGATAAATGGTTTTTGTTTTATTAGACTTTATACCTTTTTGTAAATACTTATGTGGCAAAACAAGCACAAAAACAACGTAGGTAAATATGACGTCTCTAGCAACCTCTGAGGCATTTCTCCTGTCTTTCCCTTGTGAAGGTGAGGCCTCCTTTCTCCCCTCCCTCCCCATAATGAAGGAGGCGTGGAATAAAATAGAAAGAAACATGGCTTACTTACATTAAAGTTGCATCAGAACTTGAACATTCTCTATTATGCTGGTGAAAACTATTGTGGAGTGCACCAAACATTTACAGATTAAAAATGTTTAAGACAAGAGATAAACATGACTAATTCACTAATAATTATTAGTGAATTTAATCCTTTTTTCCTGAAGAAAGGATGGTCTTGAGAAAAGTTGTACATGTTCTTTATGGTTGTTATGGGGTTTGTTTCAAATAAACCACAAATTTAAAAACAGAAATTTTAAAGTGATTTTTTGTATTGATTCTTTAAAGCAATGACCTGAAAT